CCTGCATCCCAGGGGAGGGGGCAAAGTTTGAGCACTGCAGGCAGCTGTGGGAGCCTGTGGGTTTGCAAATCCTCACACTTATGTAGGAATGGCCAAGTCAGTTGTGCACATTTCATGCACAGGGCAGATGAGTTCTGGAATGACTGCCTGTTTTGGTTAGGCTGGCTGCACTTGTAAGCAAGCATCTTGTTAAGTGTTGAGAAATTAAGACAGCTAGCTGTATCTCTTAACCAAAAGCTGGAGGCAAAGCAGGAATTTCTAGCAGCACCTTTTCAAGCAAGGTCAGAACATGTTACAGATCTGTCCAAACACTAGTGCCAAGTTTTATGGGGCCAGTAAAATAGTTTGTATTACTTCAAAATTCAAAATGAGGATTGCAGATTACTCTTCCACTGCTTATAAACCCAGGTAAACTCCAGGAGTGTTCATGGGTGGACCAGGTCCAAACATAGAAGTACTTTAGGATTTCCTTAATTTGTGTGCACCTGGGTGATGTTCAGTAAGCTATCTTTAAGTTTTAAATAGCGCTCTTTTTAATTTTCCTTTTTAACTGGACGTGCCCTGCCAGGGCACCATGTGTCTCCCCTGCATAGTGTCTATTACCTTTCACATGTTTCCATCCCACAAGTATTTTAAAAGCCAGCCTAACTTACATTAATGACATGAGGCTCTTTGCCAACACACTAGCTGTTGCCATTTTCTTTTAAAGCTTGACCATGGAAGGTCAATGGATTAACACAGCCATCTGCAGAAACAGGAGAATGAGTGCTAATCTCTCCTGTGTCTGGAGGGGGTCTTTAGCTGTCCTGCATGGGGAGGAAGTGGTGCAGGAGTCCCATCTCCATCTTACCTTTGGTGAAACATCTCTCTGTTTATATGCTCATTTGGCTGGGGAGATAGTCCAAGAGGATTCAACTATTCACCTGCTTGTTAGGATGCTGATGGGATTTGAATTGCTTTGTCTGAGTCTCATTCTCCTGCCCAAGGTGCAGGGCAGGGGTCTGATGTCAGGTGGGAGCGTTTCTGCATACTGTGTCTGTGCTTAAAAGGGAGTAACCCCAGCCCAGGTACTGCTCAGAGATGGGACTGTGCCAAGATCCTCCCCAGAAGGGAAGCCCAAAGGCACTCCCATAACACTTAAGCACTGGTTTTGTTAAAACTATTTAAAACCACAAGCTTGAACAAGGTAGTTTCTGCAGCAAGAGAAAGCATGAAGTGAGACATTGGGCATAAGCTCTCCCTCATCCTCCATGCATCCTGACTACTACAACTCTTCTCCACTTTTCATGGCCTCCTGCCTTGCAACAAACTCATCCTCTGGGGGCCTCTGGAAAAAAATCTTTTCATGGCTTCTGCCCACATACATTCTACTTCCAGTCCGTGCACCACAGCTCTTCTGTGCCACAAGCTCCACCTGTCTCTGGGGGGACAGGTCCTGCTCCCCTCCCCACTGCTCAGCCACAGCTCTTGTAACACAGCACTGACACACACTCGTGCGGGTCGCTCTCCACCAGCGCTCCTGGGGATGTGTGGTGACAGCTCTGCAGGACAGCCAGCAGAGGTGACAGCCATGCCACACCTCCAGCAGACCAAGGCATCAGAGGCCTGGGCTCTCCCCAGCACCGCTGCTCTCTGTGGCCTTTTCAGAAAGGCTTTTCAGATGGCACTGGGCTGACGCAACATTCCCCTTCCAAGGGTCCCTTGTGTCAGGCTGGGTACAATCAGCCCCTCTTCCTTAAGCATAAGGGTTCTTGAAAGAAATACACCCATGGCATTTCATGCACTGCCCTTTCACTCAGCCTTCCTGGGGGGTTCTCCAGTGCTGGGACTACAGCAACCAGTGGAGAGGGGCTGTTGGGAAAAGCTATGGGAAAAAGGGATATAAAAGCCAGAAAACAAAAGTCAGATTTGCTGCCGTATATAAAAGAACACCACAAAAATGTGTTAACAGAGCAGTTGCACAGCAGGGTTTTCCCATGTCTAAGGCATATGGAAACTCTGTCAGTCTCTTCATCAGCACACAAAGTTCTGACCCAGCTGTGGTGCTGCAATACAGCCAAAGCCATTCTGGCTTGTGAAGGAACCTCCCCGCAAGGGGCTGAGCGCTGCTGGCACTTGGCACCAGGCTGTTGCACTTCATTCATCCAGCAAGACATCTGCAACCTCGCCGTCCCAAGGTTTTCTGCTATGATGTCCTTTGAATGAAAACACTCTGTGAAGAAGAACTGCTGGTTCACACCATTTGAAAACACAGAACTATAAAAAATTTCTTCTATATGGAAGAAGTATCTTTTCAGAGAGGTAAATCCTGCTCTCCTGTCCTCCAGTGCCAGCGGGAATCTGCCCTATTACCACTGAAGGCATGATCTGCAGCAAGAACAAAGGAATATTTAGAAATAGTTCTGCCCTTTCCATGCCTTCTCATTGGAGTAGAGATGTTATATCAAAACCCACATATTTCATCTTGAACACATCAAAAAAAGTCAATGTATTAAAAATCAAATTGTTCTTGTAAATAAATATTCTGATCTGTAGTGTTTCATTTGCGGGGCTATATTTTTAGCATACACCTTCACACCTTGAATTTTAACATTTTTTTTCATTGAGGGTTGGAATTATCCTTTCAAACCTTGCAGCTGAAGTACAATTTTTTCACAGAGCTGAGGCAGGTGTGCTGTAACTGCTGCTAGAGACTCTGCTGTGGTTTTACCATTGTCTAAGAGAGATAGGTTTGATTTTCTGAACTGCCAGCCCTCAGAACATCTCTTCTGAGAAGCTCTGACATGCATCTCTTCAGGGCCAGATTCTCAAGTCAGGTTGCACCACCATGAATTGGCCTCACAAGAATCTAAATTATCTCCTACTCCTTGCAGGAGACAGGCAAGAACAGGCATAACCTGAAAAACTTTGGATACTTCCAAATTCAATTAGTAAGAATTCCCTAGTCTGAAGGAAAAGCAACGGCTGAGGTTGGAATGGCCAGATTGATGTATTCAGGAAGATTGTGTCTTGATCAACAGCAGCTCAGAAAAACTTGCAACTCTGTTCCCTGGGCCAAATGTCTCTGCTCTGATTTGTTTGACTAGTCCCCAGCTAACACATTTCATTGGAAGTGATTGCCAGTACATCTCAATCAATCCTTCAAGAGGCTCTAAGCAGTGAGTGACCATTGACTATCAGGGAAGGCAACTTGTTTCTGTAAAATCTTTCCTTGGAAAATCAAGACATACTCAACTCACTCTGATCTCTTCATGTTTTCACTCTGCATGTAAACTTAACTGATTTATACTAGGAATATCTAGTAGTTCTAGAGCAATTGTCACTTCTCCCAGCTCTAAAGCAAGAAAATCAAGTGTTTTGATTCACTACACCACATTGCTACATGAGCAGTGTGTCTGTCTCTTGGAAATGGAAAACACATGGTCAGACCCATAGCCTATTTTTCCAAAAAGTGTGAGAGGATCTCTACTTTTGTCCACAGGGAAGTGTGCTTCTCTAGAGAGTGAACTGAGAGAGAGAACAGCACTGCATGGAACTGAGTCATTATGTGTCTGTATGCCACTCTGAGAACAAAATGGGAGGAACAAAATTTAAAGACAGAAGAATTTCTTTGTTCCTTCAAAGTGCATGCTCTCTTAGGAACTCCTGGGCTTCTCACAGGTAATAGCACCTGTATCTTCATAATCCCCAGACTGTAAAGATTAGATGCAAGTGAGACTTTGTCTCCCCACATTGAAATAGATAGCTGAATCCAGACCTCAGAGAACAAGGGTATTATGTTTCCCAAGAAAAGTGGTTTTATGTGAAAACCCATGCTACTGTATGTAACACCCAGTGAAAATCTTCCTAAATCTACAAAACACAAAGAGTCTGTGCTCTCCTTGACATAAGGGGGGTGTCTAATCATGCTAGAAGACAAACTAACATTACAGAATAGTCAGGGAGACACACTGGTACTTGAAGGAACACTTGTGACAGCGAACCCCATCACTAAAAGGTTATGGAAAAGGTCATCAAGAAGTCAGTTCCTTGTTTATGAAACAGGAGCTGTAAACCACAGCTGTGCAGAACTCAAGAAGCACATGTGAAGATGTGCTGCCCTCCTCCCGTCAAGAGCAGCAGGCCCCCAGCAGCAGAGAGCATGTGATCCTCAGGCACACCGCAGTGCTGTGCTGCTGCCTTAAGGTCCCCTGCAGCAACTCCCACATTGCAGTCAATTAAAGGCAAATTCTGCCTATTACGTGAGGATGGGCCCATCCAATTAAGTCTGACTAATGACATCTAAGAACCATTATATGGAAACCTGGATCAACAGGTTATTTTTTAAGAAGAGGTGATTAATAAAAAAAAATCTCTGAAGACCAAATTCCCTGGATTGACAAATACTCCAGCTATATCAAGAGAGACAGATCCACAAAGCATGTCTCATGCTACTTTGGACAAAGGACTGCTCACATGCTGAGCACTGGAAGCCAGCAGAAATGTGTGCTGATTCACCTGACCTCTGTATACTCCACAAACTGGAACCTGATAAATGCCTGCCACTTATCTGTGTCAAACCTCAGCTATACTGCCACTGAAAATACCAGTGCATGATACTGCACTGACAGCACTGCAAATTATTTACTATTCCCCAGAACCTGTCATGAGCCCCAAGAGTGGTTTCTCCATCAACTCTGCCCGTTTTCATTTGGTAAACAATGACATTTCCCCTGCTTTACAACTGAAGCTAAAAATAGCATCTTTCATTTCATAACTTCCTGAACTTTATCAAAAATGTGTTTGATGTGTTTTATGCAGCAAGCACCGGCACTAGGAACAAACTGAGGGTATGAGCAGCTGTGAAGAACCTACACAGGACCAAAGAAAATTAGGTGTTGAAACAATCATGTCCCTTCAGGAGGAGATGATGCTTTGAGCAGATTACAAAATACCACAAATTGCAAAGTAACACACCACCTTTAAAAAACAGATTTCCAAGGAAACAATTCAAACAGTATAGTTTTGGGTTTATTTCTGTTCTTTTTTTCCCTCATTTTATTGAATGAAACAAAACAAAACAGACAAACACAAGAAATAAGATCAGTGTTCCTCACATCCATCTCCACAGTAGTCCTTCAGAGTCAACAGCTGCGAGCTCCTCCAAGCACAAAGGCCAAGAGAGACCACAGGGCCACAATACCAGAGATTCTAAGAGATAAGAATAATAAAATGCTGTTAGGCTACCTATATGTACGGCTTAAATTTTTGTTTATTAAGTGCTTAGATTCTTTTTCAAACCACATCAAGGCAGAAATTCACCCTTCATGAGCCTCATTGTCACCACCTCACAAGAGGGGTGCACTTTGAATCTGGAATTCTCTCCCACTACCGAGCTTTCAACTCAGCTGTAGAAAAAAACCCAGATCCATCCCACACCTGAGATTCTGCCTCCCTCTCACCAAGCTTATTAGAGCTGGTGCTACAGCTCATTAAAATTACCACCTCTCTGCTGTGACAGCACATCCGTAGTTTTGTGCTGTCCTTGGGGTAGCATTCCTGGGTTAACGAGCGAGATTAAAGTCCAGCAGCCCAGGGCTGAAAGCTCACGAGCAGCCACTCAGCACCTGCTTCTGAATCCACTGCAAACACGACGCAGGCTGCTGCTGTGCCAGGGCCTCGGACCCGAAAGTAATGCTTCTCCCCACCCACCCCATTCCCGCGATCCCGCAACTCACTGCAGCAGGCAGTTCACGCTCGGCGAGTGCCTCCAGTGGCGGTACACGGAGACCTGCAGGTGAGGGTGGTGCCTGTAATTCCGCAGGACGAGCCTGACGCTGCAATGAAAGCACGGCTTGAGCTCAGCCCGCAGGCTGCTTACAGCACCCCACAGCTCAGGGCAGGAATTTCTATCCAAGAGCTGTCACAGCAGAGAGAGGGTGGGACAAAGGCCTGGATGAGAGGAAAAGAGGACTGAAAGTTAAGGTTTTCTGATCACTTACTCCTTGTATTTACTGGAGAGCAGAATGAACTGGTTCTTTGAAAGCCGTCTGACATCAAAGCGACCACAAGCTTTAAACTCTTGGTAAATCTCTTCCTCGGTCAGCCCTGGCCAGCCTCGGACATGAACAACCAAGGCAGGGGGATGATGGCAAGGAGAATCTTCCCCAGAAAAATTCTGGAAAATATACAGTATTGAGACATATCTGAATTTGGAATCACTATAGAGCCACTATTAATATAATCAGAAAATATGCAGAACATGACAAACAAATGACAGGTTGTATAATACTGCTGTTGGTGTAAAATTAATTTTGTTTTGTCCCAGTGTTCATCTAAATATTGTCACAAAAGCAAACTGTCATGACTACCATTGAGAAACTACCTGAGAAACAGCAATGTAAACTGGCTAATGCCATCTTACAGAATAACAGCATAAATACATTTTGCAAAGCAGTGCCAAGGTGGGCCCCAGCACCAGTGGATTCCTCTCCTCTGAGGAAGCTATGAAGTAGGCTACTGACCTATGCACCCCACAAACAGGTCACAGACCTGCAATTCATACGCACAATGTTTGAAGCACCACCTCGGATGAAATTCACTTTGTTCACGTCCTCAGCCAACACGGTGAGATACTGTGAGAAAGAGGGCTCAGCCTCCACCACATCACTAAATCAGAAAACAAAAGAGAACAAAGTTTTGTTTCTCCAGTACTGCACTGCTATAGTTCAAGCTCTTCAACTAGTGACAAAATAGGTATTTTAGATCTTAGTATCTTCCTACAGAAGTCATAAAGCTGCAAGAAAAGGGAAGGGAACTCAGCTGAAGGCACTGATTCACAGAGATTTCAAAAATGGAAACTAATGGAAAATTATTTGACCCTTACCCAAGTGAACTGAACTTGAGAGAGCCTGTTCAAGAATAAAGAAGTCACAATGTCATTTCCCAACCTCTGAGCCATCACATGGCCCCTGATTTCATTTTTAAAATGTCAGCTTTGACATAAAACTACTACTTTCAGATTTATAAAATAAAAATCTAATTAGAACATGACATTTCCAATAACACTTCCTTTTGTCCAAAAGGAAGACCAGTCTGTGAAACAAAAAGTCAGTCAGACCAAAAGGAAGACTGTTTTCCATAGGAAAAACATCCCATGTAATACAATTTTCATTCAACACTTAAACATTACTCACTCTGTGGATTTGCACAGTAGCAAATGAGCTGACATCAGAAGAACTAGAGAAAGGAATAATGAGGTGACATGAGAAGAAAGCTAGAGAAACACTGCTAAATACATAGAAAGCAAAAATGCATTGAAGTGCAGCTAAGTTACTAAGAGCAACAGACTGTATATAAACAAATATTTCTTAGCATCAAATAGATCTAGAGAGAACAAAAAGATTGCCAAATCCCAACACAACCTCTGAAGGAGTTTTAAAGAAGCATTTTACCTGAACCACAGAGAAATGCATCATAGCCTGCCTCATGAGGAAGTATCTTCTCAGCTGTAAGTGTCCAACAAAATCAGGAAGAAGTAAACACATCTAGCATGCTGTAAAAACTACTACACTGCAAAATCCTAATTCGTAAGATCCACTATTCTGAAGGTTCTTTTCCCCCTCCCCTCAACTCTGTTTCCTTCCTCACCCTGAAAACTTTACACCCAGTAAAAAATCTGTGCTTCTAGCATGCATTTTAAAACAACACCAAAAAAGAAGCAGCAGTTACATGAATGCCTGAAAAGCTTAGCAAGATGCACATTAAAATATTTAACTTTTATGAAAGTCTAACCCAAACTGTGTCGTCTATGTTACTGATGGTATGGGAACCATTTCAAACACAGGAGGCCCTGTGCTGCAGGACACAATGCTGCCAGGAGAAGCCAGAAAACATCTGCCTCACAGCCAGTATCACACCATGTCCTGGACACAACCTCCTGCACAGGCATCACTTAATCCTGCACACCAGCCACTGAGCTCCTGCTACTTTGCCATTAGTTCCTTCTACCTTCCCTTCTAAGACAGCTGTTTCCCACCTCCCCTTGCCCCTTCCAAGGGCTCCTGACTTCACAGCCCAAGTCAGGTTCAGTTCAGCCCAACACAGTGTAAGTGCTGTCTGTACCAGCAGCATGAGGCAAACCTGCCCTGCATTTCCCTCAGCAGCTACCAGGCATGTGCAGAACACACGTCTTGGGAGCCAGGTCTGGGTCTGGACAAAAATGTGTCTCAGCAGCTCTGGGCAAATTCAACAGACACACTGGCATTCCCTCATGCTTTGTATGTGGTCACCCACAGAGTACAACAAAACTCTTTTGATCATTCTGACTCTGAAAATTTGCTTCAGAACATACCGTATCTTGAGCAGCCACTTGCAAGAGCTATAACAGGGCACGGTGGACCTTTGGGATTCAGGTTGCTGCTGAAGACAAGTGGATGTGTGATATTTTTGTCCTTGCTCAGTATGTTAGAGAAAAGTTACTGTTCTCTAGTGACCTGTAGCTTCATTTCAGAAAACGCTACTGGAGACTTTAAAATGAACGTTGGTAGGCCTCCAGGAAAAGGCAAAAATACTTACTTGAGTAATATCTACCAGTTTTCTTCCTGAAAACTAACTCCTAAATATTTCCTTAGTCTCTTCCCTCACTCAAAACTTGTGAGCAGCAAATTTGTTCTAATTGCATTCAAAACAAAAAAAAAGTGAGCAGAACTAAAACTGCAGGAAAGAGGTTTACTAGATGGTCCTATTTGAATGGGGAACCCTGGAGGTTAAAGAGATACCCCTGGAATGAATGAAATAAAACAAAGAACAGTCAAGTAGAAGATGCAGTCTGAAATTGCTAATAAACAAACCCTCAGAATCCCAGTACTGTTTTAAAAAAAAATATTAATTTTCCATCTCCTTCTTGGGACCAGGGGGGTAACAGGAAACAGGCAAAATTTTCCTTTCCTTGGCAAAATTGACATGCAAAAAAATTAATTCACAAAAGAAGTGTGAAGTAAGTCTCCTACTACATCAGGACTATGCTCATGAGGTACAACATCTACTCGTCCTCCTTTTGAACAGTGTATTTAGTTACTGCTCTGGGCTCAGTGCAGCCCTCCTTAGGACAGGCATTTGAAATTGGGATGTATTTTCACCATGAACTGCAACCTACTCATTTCAGAACGTGGCATAAGCAACATAATTCTTAAGCTGAGTGTACAGTTGTATGCAAGCCAAATTTGCAACCAATGAAATAATGGCAATTCAATGCATAAAGAGACTCAGAACAAGTAATTTACTACACAATTTCTTTATAACAAAGATGTGCAAATCCTTTGCTCTTAAATTTAGAAAGACAAGGATCCAATTGAAAAGCATTTGAGAGGAGGGAAAGTATGAACATGGGAAATGGCTGACTGTGAAATATCTTTCCAAAGAAGACACAGGGATTGCTGAAAGCTCTATTGGCCACCACTTACCTGGACAAAACTGCATATGCCTCCAAAAGACTAGATACTCGAGGAAACAGACATTTCTATAAAAGAACAGTGTATCAGAAAACCAACCACGACAGACCTTATGGTGAGTTCAGCTACTTACATTGCCAATTTGTTAAATGAGATCTAAAATTAGAACTTCCCAAGGCAATACTGAGAACTGTTTGCAGTTCCATTATTATCACAGGGCACTGAGGAAAGATATCCTCTCTCTTGGGTGAAACACAGGTTTAAATTTCAAACAAAAAAACCTGTGCATCTCACCTTCTGCACAGATTTTGTTACAGTCTTGGTGTCTATGATGACAGGAAACAGGTTGTGAATGTTCCTTTTAAATTCCTCATAGCTTTCTGAAAGCAAAGCACATGGAGTGGAGAAAGGCATCAGGAAACTGGGGAAAATCCAATGCAACGCAAAGTAATAGGAAAAATAAGTGACAGCAAGCAACGATGCCATCTCCAGCATTCAGAACTCAGAAGAGGCAACCAGCCCTGCTGCTGGCTAAGCCCTGCAGGTGTCTGTGTTGGCAAATAGCCACTGCACCTCCTGTTCCTCCCCCAGTGCAAAGGCAGCAGCCCAGGACAGCAGCTACGCACAGCAGTACCTGGGAGGGGCCTGTAGAACTTGTCGTGAAGATGCATAAGGTCCATCAGCATGTTGTGTCCCACCAGGGGCTACGGGAGGAACACAAACACATCAGCCCGTTGGAGCACATTTCTGAAGAGAGCTCAGAGATGAACAACACAGGCACACTCAACAGCTGTAACCCTTTCCTCCAGCAGACAACATCCACACACACTCACACAGGAGTCATTCAGGCCGCAAGGCTCACAGGAGGACTACTGCCTTCAGGAAATCAGACTTGTGGATTCCCTGAGAGGGTATTTTCTTAGCAGCATTCTATTTTCAGTGGACCTAAGGAGCTAAGTGGATTCAGGGTTCAGCTGAATAAGGTTCCAGACATCAGATTTATATGCTCACTCGCAAGGATAAGGATGGTCTTTGCTGCACGTCACCCACAGTCCTCTAAAGCTGAAATCCATTTGACAAGCTGCATACAGAACATAACAATTTCCACACTAAGTCAAACCAATGGTCCACTTGGTCCAATAAACTGATCTGACGCATGCTGAAAAGCACAGCTTGCCCAAAAGGCAAGAATCTGCTCAGCTTTCTTAGATGGTGACTCAAACAGTAACACCAGCACTTTTAATATTGCATTTAACACAGCAAAATTTAAAAAATATGAAAATGAGAGTAGGGTTAAGGCATTTTACCTTCTTGACGTTAACAAGCATTTGGAAGAGGTTGGTAAAGCCCCGGGCAGACAGGAGAATGAGCTTTTGCTGACAGTGGTCATAAGAAGAGTTCTCCAGAAACTGACGATGCTCTGGACTCACTTTTTTTACCATCACCTAAAAAGAACAGTCACTGAGTATCTCAGCCTCCAGTGTTAGTTGCATGTACGTTGCTTACTGGGGTTCAGTAATGCTGAGGTCAAATTCAGCTTCAAGGCACTGAAGGACAGAAAACTGCATCCCCTGGGACCTTGGGACTGTCTCACTTCCATATGGAGATCAGTGCTCAAGTAACTAAACAGGCCTGCTCAAAGTGTGTCTTAATTGTGCTTCTCTACTTAAGAGGATGATTCCTACCAAAGGGCTTTTCTGAGCACAAATTAATGTAATTCAACTTAACTTGATACCAATATGGTAAGTTCATGGTACCAAAAACCCAGAAACAAACAGCAATCATACAAGCAGAGTTGCCAAAGGCAATGCTTCAGATGAGAAGACTGGGTAAATCTGACAGTCTGGGGGCACTGGTTATCAGACTAAAGTAGGAGTAATGCAAAAAAAAAAAAGATTTCTGTAAGCTAATTCTAAGCAACTGACTGATATCATACCCATAACCCATAGTATGAGAAGTCTACAACCATAGTTTTACTGCAGAAAATATTGCACTGAATGTAAAATACCAGTAGTGAATAGCAAAACAGCAAGTCACAGAGTGAAAGTCTTCAAAGCAACTTCATGGCAGAAGTCAGCAAAGGAAAACCACACAAAATGCTAAAACTGTACATTCTTGTGGAGGTATTGAAGGAGGGACTCAATAAAGTCTAAAGACATGGAGAGAGTACCTCCAGAAGTGCTCAAGGACAAGCACTTCCATTTAAAAGGATTTTGGGGATACTGGACAAACAGAAACCAGAGTTGCTCAGTTTTCTGTGTCCCTTTTCTTAGGATCCTGCAATCAACATTTAATTTGTCATTGTCTTCTCCTCCTCCTGGACCCTATCATTAAAAGTACAAGCAACATTTCAGAGTCCCTGCAAGAATGCCAGTCCTATCTGCCCAGAGAGAAATCCTTTTTTCACAAGGTCGACACTTCCATCTCACCTTCTTGTCTCCAAGAGGCTCTGTCCAAACATTTTCAAGAGCCTGCCTCAGAACCAGCTGAACTTCAATTACATGATAGCCTATGACAGACAAAAAAAAAAAAAAATGCAATAGAAGCTTCAGAGGCGCAGACAAGCCCATTAAGGAAAACACGCCATTCCTCTAGACAGACGGACTGACATGTCTTTCCCCCAACATAGAGAAAATATTCCTCAATCTATGATCCTGATACATTACCACACACAGTGACTGAAAGAAAACAAAACAAAAAACATAGACACACACACACAAAAAACCCCAAGAAAACAACAACCGCAAACCCACAGAAATAAACAAAACACAAAAAAAACCCCCAAAAATCACAGGCAAATGAGCTTTTGTTTTTCCTGGAGGAAAGGAAAAGACTAACTGAAGAGGGAGGAAAAGGACGCTCTCTTGTTTGGGACAGTTTCAGAGCAAGCACACAAAGGGTACCAATGCACTTTCCCCCACAGCTGACAAGGAACTAACCCAGTCCTCTTCTGAATAGCATTAAAAGAGACATCTGAATCAGTCTTCTTGCTTACTTAAATAAATGTCTTTCTTATCACAGGTGCTCACCAGTGCCACACTCTATTAAAATATCAGTATCATATATAGTTGACAAAGCAGATAAAAAGCACAGCACAGTCTCCATCCCTCTTATTGCATACTCTGCAAAAAAACTCAACAGACAAAGCCTTGAACACTGCGTTCTTCCTAACTTTTTCTATATTATATTCCCAGACCTACAAGGTTAAGTTTTGGGTTCTGTGTGTAAACCTACAAATTATTCCCTGCAAAAATTCCCAGTTCTTCAAGTCAGCACAGAAGCTCCTCAGCTCTGCTACAGTGCTCCCAAAACCTAACACAGGGGCTAAGTGACCTGTTTATTCCCACTGGCATATATGTGTCTCTATGGGGCTCCCTGTTGCTCCAATGAGAGGGACTTAACTGAAAGGAGGGGAAGAAAATAAAAAACTGGATCACCCAGAATTTGAAGCATGTAAAATGTAATCCTGATTCAGAGTAACTACAAATTCTCCAGCTGCTGCTCAGAAAAAGCACAAAATGGAAGTCAATTACCACAAAGCATGCTCCAAGCATCCAGACATCCACTTCTGCTTCAGAAAGAGCTACCACCCCAACAGAGCAAAGCACAAGAGCCCAGAGATGAACTCCTGACAGACGCTAAAGTATAAACTGGGGTTAAGAGTTGTAAAGGCAGGATGGGCACTGGTGCTTTCCCTTTCAATAGAGCAATTTAACAAAAGAAAGGACAGTTACAGCCCCAGAGGTTCACAAGAAATTATGAACCCACTCAGAGCCCATAGTCTCTCTAAGAGAGACACAGCTTCATACCATTCAGATCCTGAAGGATCATAGTATCCTCTTCTTCAGCTGCAGCTATCCAAGAGGTCACTTCATCAATAGCTTTCTTCAGGACATCCCTGTTACTAGTGCTGGATGAGGGGAAAGAGGCAGTGTAAGAAATGCTCTTTACAGGTGAAGCCTTGTGCCTTGCTGTAGGAATGCAAAAGCTTCATTTCCCAACATGCACCCAATTCTCCACATAATATCCTGTGGTCTCGATCTTCCTTCAGACACCGTGGCATGCTGGAACAGCTGGCAGCGAGGCGTTCAGTCCAACAGGTTTCAGTATTTCTACAAAACGTGATCTGAGTGAAGCTGAGCCATGGGCACAGTACTGAGGAGACACCTCTTTGAGAAGTGCTCACCTGCAGACTTTCCAGGTACCTGCTGAGAGCTGCTGCCTAAGGATCTTCTCCTGTACCTCATTCATGTATGGGATTCCATCCTTGAAGAACTGACGGGAGAGAAAACGCCAAGTTGGTTACATTCCCCTGGATTTTCTCACAGCACATTAGAGAATCAGCAGATTAGTCAGGACAAACAAACTGTAGGCAATCCAACAAGTATGGAGGAAAGAAAAGGATGTTTGTCAATGGTAATCAATTTTTTTGTTCTTCTTTTACTTTTCCTTTAATAAGATGCTTCTAAGAGTCAAGAAGTGGGATGCTTCCTGCCCAGAACGGCAAAACAGGACTCATGGGATGACAAGAGTCTGTATTTTATGGGAAATGTGGCAATACATAAGATGCTGGTAAACTGATACTTCTACACCTTCATGGATAGTAAAGACACCCACCACGGTTTGTTTAGCAAATCCTTAGCTTACCAAAGATGAGGTTTTGGGGGTTTTTTTTGAGGCAGGAGAATCTGAGGCTGCCAAGGATGTGGTTATTGCCTTTAAATTAGTTCAGAAAAAAGAGCACTCACTACCCCTTGTTGATAACAAACTGCATGATGCATTCATACTTTAGGAAGATGCTATTTACCCTAGAAACGTAACATTTAGGGATACCAATCTGATTTTTTCTGCAGTTGCACAGATTTCCTCTGTTCTGCATTTCTGGCAGAGATTACATACCTTGTTGTAGTCAAAGCCATAATGAGACAGGAACTGAATACTAGATGCAGAGAGGGTGAATTCGACATCCCTTATTCCCAGAGTTGAGGGAAAGAGAAAAAAGTTGTACGAATGCACCACATACCTAAAATGAAAAGAAAAATATCTCTAGAAGATAATTATAGAATTAACTCTGCCCAAAGGAAATTATGCATAAAATCTCTACTGCACTATCCTCATTGCAACAGAAAACTTTTTTACTTACTTGTTTGAATTTTCTTTTGAGAATATTGCCAGCCCTGCAAGAAAGAAACCTCTGTTGAGACGGCAGCATTTAGCTGGCTGTCTACTGACAGTGTGCAAATTAGATGAGAGATGTGGGGAACCCCTCAAGAAATACATGCTTTCCATTCAGGAATGTCACTGTGCCATCCTAGCAGCAACTGCCAGGCCACTCCCTGGATTCCTGAGAACTGCACAGGACAAGCTTTCACTGCTATGTGGGAAAATGAGTCAAATTTGAATTAAACAACAAATACACTGAGCAATAGGCAAGAGGTGAGATGGTGATGAGCCTCTGACTGTGCATACACAGATGAGTCTGTGGGTCCAACTACACTACATTTGTGTTTGGAACAAGCTGGGCACCACAGAGGACTGAAACATGGGTTTTACTTCTCAGGTTTTGTTTTTTTTTTTTTCTTCTGTTAATCCCTAAAAGGCACATGATGATCGTACATACCCCAAGACTCTGAACAAGATGTCAAACTGTTTTCAAGCTGTCTTCTTGACTCCTTACTGGTTCTTAACTGTCAATAGCTCTCCTTCACAGACCGCTCCTCATGCTGGTTTGTTATTTTAGGAATAACAGAAATAGCAGCCTTCATTTTCCTCACAGTCCCCTTACTCATAATGCCCTGTATCAAATGACACTGCTTTGAAAAGGAGCTGCTGCTTCTTACTTGCATCCTCTGATTTAAAAGCCTTGTATTTTTAACTGTGACCTTTACATACAGTCAACTTTAGACCCATAAAAACGATACAGCCCACGTGACTTTATTTATTAAAAAGCTGATAGAGTTAAATATCAGAGGGGGGGAAACCCAACAAGCAAACATCTCTGGAATGAGTGAATTAAGGCTGAGCCACCTGCAGGACTCACCTGTTAGCAAAAGGCCAGTTACCTGTACGACCTCGGGAGAGCAGAGCCGCACTTACCGAGCTGAACAAGAGTGAAGCGCTGAACACTCTGCCTGGCCTTCGCATACCGCTCCGCAGGGGAGTCAAACAGGCTAGGAACAAAACCAGAATTGGGGAGAGTGGACATAAGAAGGGTTGCTATGCACAGGTTGTTCTCACAGGGCTAGAGCAACAAGTCTCCCTGACATTTCAATTCCAACAGCTTTACCTGGGCTCGTTGTTTTGTAGGGAAGTTGAATGCAAACCAGTAAACTCCAGATCAAGGGCTGTTGAAGTGGAAAGAACACAAGAGAATCTGAATTTGAGGCATGAGCTTCACCACCACCAGGACGGGGGTCTCTCACATTCTTCCCTTCACCGCAACATTTGTCAAACCACAGGAAGCAGGCTCAAAAGAAAAAGCTTCGGGGTCGCACCTCCAGCTGCCTCATTCCTGTGGCAGGATGAGGCAGGGACACCTCCCCCAGCCCCTCAGGAGGAGCCTGCCTCACCCTGTGCTGTGTTCGTGCCCCCACCCCGAACCCCTAGCACCCCTGGCCCCCAGCCGGCCGAGCCGAGGCCAGCACCGCAGTCGGGGTTCCGTTTCCCCGTTTGCATCCCCGCGCCTCAGCGCTCGCTGTTCTGGGCGCAGCAGCGCCATTATCGGCTGCAACACCCCTCAGTGCCCGGGTCCCCACGTCGGGCAGGGCCCAGCCGCCCCTCTGCGCGGCCGGGCGGGAGCCGACGGCAGCACTGGGGGCCACACGAGACGCCCCCGAGGCTCACCCACGAATGTGGCATCGAGGATGCGGCGCCTGAGGCGCGGCAGGCGCTGGGCAAAGTCCTCGGCGCCCACGTCCATCGCCGCCCGCCCGCGGCCCGCCCGGCGCGCCTGCGTGCCCGGCGCTGCCCCGCGAGGCGGTCCGCACTAAGGGGTGGGAAAGGCAGCGCCTCGGGAGCTTCCAGCGTGACCCGAGCGGTGGGAACGAAGGACTGGGAGGTTTAGGCTGGGAATTGGAGAGGCTGCGAAGGCGCCCGGCACAGCCCCCGCTGACACGGAGCGCAGGGGCAGCTCCCACTGCGCGTCTGCTGGAAATACAGATCGCACAGCGGCCGTCACTATCTGAGAGTTATTATTATGAACCAACAACTAGGTAAAAATCCAGTGGTTTTTTTTTTTATTATGTCTGAGGATTTAATAAAGATGCCAGAACCGGGCCGGGCTCACTCTGCACGCTGCTGAACCCCAGCACTGACCCTTGGCGTTCCCTTCTCCTGCCCCAGAGCGCACACACAAGGCAGCAGACACAGCACCCCGACACAGGCACCGGAGTTGCACTGACCAGGCTGGCCGCCCTGAACTGGCCTGTCAGAGGCTTCCACACACTGTCTGTGGGGATTTCACAGCCTGGTTGTAGCTGGGAGCTGTGCCGAGCCAGCAGGCAGAGATGCTGACAGCACCAGCCTGTGCCAAGCAGCAGACACAGAAGGGGAGAATGGGGCTTCTTATTCCCTATAGAAAGAGTTTCTGCAGCTCCCCTTCTAAACCTATCCATGTGGTTAAGCAGTTAGAATCTCAGGATTGCAAGAAAGGTGCAAAGATGAGTTGGGAGTTTAACATTTTCACTAAGACTTTGCACATCTTTATCACAGTTCTAAACATTAATGTAATGTCTACACTTTGCTAGGTTCGACTGGCAGTGTACAGGGATCAAATATCAAAGCATTTCCAGAGTTCAGGCTGGAACAAAAAAAAAATCAAATATTAAAAATAAAAATATATTTTTAAATGTTGAATTATTAATAAATTCTGTCAAGCTGAACTATGGTAAGTTTATTCTAGCATTAAAGGTGTTGATCATTTTAAAATAAAGAAGATGACACACTCCTATCCATGTGAAAATATTTTATTATAAGAAGTCACATTCCAACTTTTTCCAGCTCTGGACCTTCCCTTTGCCAATACACAAACCTAAAGAAGAAATCCTTGTTCCTTGGAAAGTCTTCCCAACGATCTCCATTTTATTGGTAGATTCTTCGTGGCTCATGCAGAACAACACCACCCTCCTTCATAGCTTTCTCAAATTCCTGAATCTTGTTTAAAAGATAGACACAAATAAATACAAAAGAAAGCCAGCAGACTTAAATATCAGTGGGAACATGTTATATGGAGGGCCAGAGGTTAACAGCCTCATAGAAGCATAATATCAGGAACTGCAGCTTGTCAAAGCCCTTCTGAATGTTGCAAGGAGGGATTGTCAAGCCACATAAGAAAATTAAAGGTAAAGAGAAGTAAAATTAAAGCCTATATAGGAAAGAAGGGCCAATGGGGTAAGTAGGTGGGTACTTGCCGAGTCACAACGGTGTTCCCAGGGGATAATGGCTTTAAAGTTCACGAAGTTGATTCCTGCTTCCAAACAGCGCTGTGCCATTACACGGCCAAGGTTTCTGCATGCAGCCACTCCCTTGGGACTGTACAAGTGTCTCTTTATGGCCCACTCTCGGGTAGAGGCAGATAGCACAACATCCCCATTGGAGCGCTCGACAAAAGCTTCTACGTAATGCTGTGTCCGCTCAAGCCGTAATCTGAGTGCAGGAAAGAAGTAACAGAGGATTAGAATGTCTTTTCCAGAGGACAGAGTCAAATGCTTAAATTACTCCCTTTAGGAAATAAAATTGATTGTATTAATATATTACATTACAAGTTTTGCTTAGTAAGACACTAAACAGGACTCATTTTGGGAGGAAAGGGTTAAAAGCGGAAGAATATCGAGGAGGATTCTCTCAAGTGTCCTTGCAGCTGGGAATGCTAAGTCCTGGAGAAGAACATTGTGGGAAACCCCACATATTATGTCTACTGCTGTTTATCCTCTGACTGTTTTGAGAAGTAGAATCTCTGTGTAGAGATAACACAGGTGTTCAAAGAGCCTTGGAGGCTCTCTCCTGGACATGCTTGAGCTCCCTGTTTTGACAGACAGATCATCAAAGCTCAGAGATGACAAAAAACACAGGGGAGACCATAGCATGATGGTAAACCTAAATGCCCTTAATAAATGGGTGCCAACTGCAGGCTCACCAGCTGCACAGACTAGAACTAACAGTGCCTGCATTCCCACCTGAGTCTCCACCTGGGTGTTCCTTTGGGATCCTTCAGGTAGCAGGGTAATGAACTAAATGTACTCTTTGCATTTCAGCCTTAGTTTTGCAGTCCTTCCAGCGTCCTGCCTGTGTTGACTCACACAACTCCTGTTGCTAGCTCAGAAGAGTGAAATTCCAAGAGCAACTTCTCATCAGTTACTCAGGGCCACAGTCCTGTGTTGCCTCAAACCGGCACATGCTCCAAACCAAGCACTGTACACCTGCACAATGTGGAAGAGATAGATATATGGGGAACTGCTTCAACAGAAATGGAACTTTGGGGTCACTATGCAATCCTTTAAAAGCTTGAGCTGCACAGCAGGTGTTGAGATCTGACACAGCAACTTGTTGAGATCTGCAAGTGGGCAGAAAGTACCTCATAAGCCTCCACACATAACAGTAGAATATTTATTAGGAGAAACTATTTCTTATTGCACTGAGAAAGTATCAGCTTTCCTGAATGGGGTTCTCCCCACAAAAGCAAAATAAACGCTTTGAAATGCCAGCTTAAAATGAACTTATTTTCCAGAGGACAAGTAAATTAAAACAAAACAAAACCCACAAACATAAAACAACTCCAAACAGACTATTGTGGTGCCTCAAATAAAACCACGAAGCATGGTAAGCACAGAAGTGAGAGAATCCTAAATTAAAAAGCTGTTGCTTAAGCAACATTACTGTTGCCTTAACAATAGATGGAAAAATCTTGACCGCACATGCTTTCATGTGTGACTAGTCCACTCTTCTCTGAACACAGAGGATGCCTGCTGATTAAGAAACACTAATGTCCTAACTGATTCAGCAACCCAAAATGCACATTTTGTATGTGGGTTTCTGGGGTTTGTTTTGTTGGTGGCTTTTTGGTTTTTTTTCTTTTAGAGTCTTCATTTTTGGCAGTAACTTCCTGACTTACCTGTGCCAGAACTCACGCTTTGGCCATGTTGTCTTCCAGCCACGCTCCTTCCTAGCCAGGGCCATCTGCTCCAAGTTCCGGGGATTTCTATTAGTGAAGTTTGGGGCAACAACCTCATTTTCACTTGTGTCCACTTCAGTCTCAGTTTTGACACTGGCTGTAGTTGATGCAAAACGAACACCTTGGGAGAGAGCAGATAAAAAAAATCAAAGATTAAAAAACCAGTAGTGCAGACAGTAGGACGGATACGGTACAGAATGACACAGCTGACAGAAGTCAGCAGAGCAGAATCATCTTGCTTTTATTTTTTAAGCACTTAACAGATGAATGACAAGACCTCAACCTGTTTCCCCAATTTATGAGGCCAACTGCAAGTATACTAACGCCATTTTTAAACTCATATATAAAAATATAAACTCGCGCGTGACCAGGCGATCCCTAGATCCAAAGCTTTACAAAACACTGAAGTACACAAGAAACCAGAGACAGCGCTACCAAACAACAAGGTATAACCCTTCATCCTTGGCACGGCACAACCGCCAGGAAAGCGGAGCGCGGGGGCCGCGGAGCCGCCGCCGGAAAAGGGCGGCACGGTGAGCCCTGGGCTTACCCGCTGCACGGAGCCCGCCGGCCGCCAGCAGCAGGCGGCTGCTCAGCGCCATGGGGAGCCGGACCCACCACAGCGCCGGGCGGCCGCCGCTCCCCTCGCTCCGCTCAGGGACACCCGGGCGCCGCCATGCGCGAGGGGCGGCGCTTCCCGCGGAAGCAGCCGCGGGAATTCCGCCCGCCGGCGGCGGGGTCAGGCGGAAGCGCCGGACGCGGGGTCGCCCTGCCGGCTGAGCCACCCCGGCGCCCGCAAGCCCGGAAAGGGCGCCTGAGTGGTACTCGCGTCTCACAAAACAGAGCAAAAAACACTGCCCGACTTGGGGGTCATCTTTTAACTTTTGCCCGGAACGGGAACGGAAGAGGGACCAAGGCGCGGAAAGGAAAGGGGAGTGGGTAAAGAGCAACAATAGGTGTTTCGGGAACTACCATCATCCTGGTTTAGGTTTATTTCCTTGTGCTCCTGCGGCACAAAGGTACAGCAGAGCTTCTCTGCCTTCTCAAAGCATCCTGCTGCAAGCATGACCACGCAGGAACCTTACTTTGGAGCTGTATTTAACTGCTGTAGTCCTGAAAATGCTTTTGATGAGCCATCTAAGAGCACATTGTATTGAAAGGAGGATGAAGGCCTGGTGAGACCCGGGCACCAGCTGGCAGGGGAACTCTGGGCACTGCCACAGCAGCCAGGTACAACTGTGGGGGTGGAGGCTGCTCCTGGCCACACGAGGTACCTGCCTGTCAAAATACAAGAAGCCTGTTCACACCATGCCCTGCGAATCGTTACATACTCACCCTGGGCCTTGCAGGTTTCCCCTCTCCCCATCACTCCCTGAGGTTTTCCCTCAGACTGTAGCAAGTTTTCCCCCTGTACTACAAGCAGCGCCACTTAACCTGGCCACAGAATAGTAGGATAACGGGAACTGTTACAGCTCACAGACCTTGAAACCATATAATGGTGCCATTATCAAGTGCAATCACAGTCATGACTTAGGGTAATTCCTATTAGAAGTGTTTTGCCTAAAGTATCAGCTTGAATCTCAGTTTCTCCAGGAAGCAGATCTTCAGCTTCTTCACCTTTTGCCATCTCAGAACCCAAGACTGGTCTCAGAATTTGCAGCCTTCCCCCAGGACTCGGGGTACAATCCCGAGCAATGGGTAACGTGTTTGAGAAGGGCAGTTACGGCCAGGCATGCCGAGGTCCCCACTAGGGAAGCTGGGTGCTTCCCAGGGCAGGGCAGGTCTCGCCATTCCCGCGCCCATTCTTTGCCCCACCACCGGCGGGACTCCACGCGCCTGCGCGCCCAGGCCCGCGACACTTTCTAGAAGCTCGTGGAAGCGCCCCGGGCCCGCCCCTTCTCTCGGCGTCTTTGTTCAGCGGCTCCCGCCAATCGCGGCTCGAGGCCGGGCGGTGCCGCGCCCCAGGATTGGACAAGCCCGGGATGCGGCTCCGCCCCCGCGGGGCGTGCCCCTCCCCACCGCCCCCGCGCGTAGCGGGGCGCGTTCCCAGCGTGCCTCGCGCCGCCCCGGCCATCCCCCCTCTCCGCGCCCTCCCGTCCCTTCCCTGTGCGTGTGGCGCCGCGCCCGGGCGGGAAGATGTCGACGATGGAGGGGCCCCTGGCGGTGTTCGGCGAGCGGACCAGCGGCGACACGGTCCGCACGCAAAACGGTAACGGCGGCGCGCCCCGGCGAGGGCCGGGGGAGCGGGGGGGGGGAAGGGAGGGGCAGCAAGGAGCGAACATGGCGCGGCCATGGTCGCCTCGGCCATGTGCTCACCCGCCCCGCTCTGCCCGGGAAGTGCCGCTCCTCTCGATAGATTCCTGCCGTCCCGGGCCGCTGCTGCCTGCAGGGAGGGAGTAAAGGGAGGATGGAGGGAGGGGGGCAGGCTTGCAGCAGTGTGAGCGGCTTGCAGCAGTGTGAGTGGCGACGCGGCCCCGCGTCCCCCTCCCTCCGTGCCGTGCCGTGCTAGCAGCACACACCGGGCCACGGCGGCTGCTGCTCCTGCTGCAGGGATCGCTCTGCCCCGTCCCGATCACCTAGGGCCTAAGCCTGCAAGGCCTGCGGAGAATTCTTTTGGGGAACGTCCCCGCCCACAGCACAGGGAATAAGCTGCTTCGGAAAGTGGGGAACAGCCTCGAAATGCGTGTCTGTAACTGCTTCTCAAACACGTTACCCATTGCTCGGGTTTGAACCCCAAGTCCTGGGGAAGGCTGCAAATTCTGAGGCCCATCTCAGAGTCTGAGTAGACGAAAGACAAAGGAAGAAGCCAAAACTTGCTTCCCGATCAAACTGGGATTCTTTCGTGTAGCTCTGATGGTACTTTAGGCAGCTACTTAAAATTTACGAGCCTTGTTTTAATTCAAGAGTGAGCTTCTACGTGATAATGGCACCTTTGGTACAAAGTTGTTTCTTCCAGAAAGCTGACATTAATCCGCCTTAGCAAAAGAAATTGTTGTGTTGCTTGAAGGTTTCAGAGTTATAACTGTTCCCATTTAACTACCACTTTTTCCATTTCTAGATTAAGTGGCTATGCTTGTGGGATAGAGAAAAACTTGCCATGGTCTGAAGGAAAAGGTTGATTGTATCTTTTTCCTATATGAAAATGGCAAAACAACCTTTAAATGAGCCAGTGTTTTAGAGGCTTTGTCTTGTTTTGGTAGTGACTCACAGGTCACTTTTCGGTGACTTAGTTGCAGAAGTAAATGTTTTGTGTCAGTCACAGGCCTGATAAGGACCAGAAGATGTTTTACTAACTGATGTGTGGTGATGCCGATGTTCTCGTCTGCCCAGAACTGAGGACTGAATGCGAGCTTGCTGCAGTGAAAAGCAGCAGTGCTACCAGCCCCTCCTGATCTAACACCACTGCTCCTCTGACCTCAGTCCTGTCCTCCATCTTACCCAGACAGCAGAGAAAGCATTCTTTTTTGGGTCAGTCAGTTTTGCCAGATTAGTTAGCTAAACCAGCTAGAAGGAAGAGTGAGGTTTGGCGCAGATTGTATTTTTTTGGTAGCAGCAAGCTTAAAAAAGTAAGGTAAAGCTTCAGGTTAGTTAGGCTGAAATATAATGCTAGATTACATCACTTGTCACATTCCTGACCTGTTGTTTCTTGGCACTGTTCCTTACAAACCTCAGAATCATCTTAAAGCTGGGAAGATAAAACTTGTTTTTTCTTACTTCTTTCCTGTATTCAGTTACTGCTGCATCTGCTATTGCCAATATTGTGAAGAGTTCTCTTGGGCCAGTTGGTCTGGATAAGATGTTGGTGGATGATATTGGGGTAAGTAATGTTACTTTAAGAAGTGTCAGGAGGACTTGTATTCCTTTGTAAAAGGAATCTTAGTTCCACTTAGTGTGCTTGTAGGCCTAATGTGTCTGTTTTATCCTGAGAGGGGTAGGGGAACTGTGGTAAAATTGAGTATTGTGTAATGTGTATTACATCATTTTAGTTTAATGTATTGTGGTGGTAATGTATGTGTTACATGTATTTAATTTCTGTAGGTAAGTCTTTGTAACCACTTAAAATACTGGTCAGATGGCAAGAAGTGAGTTTCACCACTTAAATCGTGTTTAACAGGTGCTTACTTGTATATCCTAGTCTCCACATAAGGAGAAATAACAAAAGAATTTCAAGTAATTAATAACAAATTTTTAAGCAATATTTTGTATTTTAAAATATTTCAAGTAATTGAAGAAAGTTTGTCATTTTCTAGGCTTATGTAATAAAATACTGTGTTGGAGGGAAGTCATTGCATGGCTACTTATCCAGTACTTGTAAAATGTTTGATGAGTTTCTGCACCATAAAGGGTTTTCTGATCAAAAGAAAATACAGATTCTGCACTGGTAACATTTCTGTTGCTAGAATGGGACTCCACATTAAAAAGAAGGAAGGTTTTGTTATAAATAGTTATTTTATGGGCAATCACAAAGGATAATTAATTTCTTTCTGTATGAGCATTATGAAATGCAACAGTGAAACTGTAGTAGAAATATACATCATATGCATATTTGATTTCTGAAAATTAGGACGTGACCATTACTAATGATGGTGCAACCATTCTGAAACTGCTGGAAGTGGAACATCCTGCTGCAAAAGTCCTTTGTGAGCTGGCAGACCTGCAGGACAAAGAAGTTGGTGATGGGACCACCTCAGTGGTATGTAGCAAGTTTTACAGGCAGATACTTCAAAAGTCAGTGTTTAGATTTGGTGTTTTCCTAGATGCTAGTTTCCATATGCAAAGTGGTGCTCCAGAAAGGAATTTGCTCACTTCTGTTTCATTACTGATTTTTCCTATCCTTAAAGTTGGTCACAGAGGCCGAATTTAGGTTTTTAGTTTTTAACAAATGCAAGAAGTGAAGTATGAACAAGGATACTGAGTGTTGAAAACTTAACTGAGACTTTAGATACCTTGGTGGGAGTTGGAATTAGGTAGCTCTCACCTCACATCAGAAAATGGTCTTAGTTCTGCGTTGCACAAGGTAGTTACTTTGCTTCTGTGGAATGCACATATTTAGTGTTTGTATTTCAAACAGGTAATTATTGCTGCAGAACTTCTCAAAAATGCAGATGAGCTGGTGAAACAGAAAATTCATCCTACCTCCATTATTGGTGGATACCGACTTGCCTGCAAGTAAGAAACTGATACAGTGGAATTTCAGCATTTTGTGACTGCATTAATATAGGCTTTTTGGCACCAAGTGGAATATGGTGGTTTGTTGCAGGGTTGCTGGGGTTTTGGTTGGTTTGGGTTGGATTTTCTTGTGGGTTTTCATTTTTTTAAATTGTATTTCTGTAATCACATAAAGGAATGACAGTCACATTACTGTCCTTGGAGAGCAATTGATTTTATCCCTTTGTTCTTGGAGGTAACATTTAGAAGAGCTGAAAACGTGTAAGTTTTTGTCTTTTTGTGGGGGTGATTCTTTACTAGTATATTTGTCTTTATTTTACAGGGAAGCTGTTCGCTACATCAATGAAAATCTTGTTATTAACACAGATGAGTTGGGCAGGGAGTGCCTAATTAATGCTGCTAAAACATCAATGTCCTCGAAAATCATAGGAGTGTATCCTTTAAATTGATCAAGTGAGTGAAGTGAGAGTGATTGATTAGAGAGCTTTGGTAGCTAGGCTAGAGTATCCTTGGCAGCAGTTTTTATGAACGTGACACAA